TCGGCCCAGTATACCCGAAAGACCGTCTCCATCCCCATCGTTCAGCCTGGACAGCCTGGTCCAGCGCCGAGGGCCTTCGGGTGGTTCCCTCACTGCAAGAAGTGAGGCTACAGGGAACCAGGCAGAGGGCCTTCTCAATAGCGGCGCCCGCCCTGTGGAACGCCCTCCCATCAGATGTCAAGGAAATAAACAACTACCTGACTTTTAGAAGACATCTGAAGGCAGCCCTGTTTAGGGAAGTTTTTAATGACTGATGTTTTAATGTATTTTTAATATTTTGTTGGAAGCCGCCCAGAGTGGCTGGGGAAACCCAACCAGATGGGTGGGGTATAAATTATTATTATTATTATTATTATTACTGCTGCTCCTGCCACATTCCTAATCTGAGATTGTATTATTTAGTTATTTATTTTTAAAGGAACTCAGGCAAAATTGCTCAGAGGACATTTCCACCAGAAAATTTGGGAGATTTTTTGTTTGTTTTACTCGCCTCCCCCACCTCGCACTTCCACAAGAAGGCCACTTTGCAGAAGGGTCTCCAAATATTCTCCACTATTGACGTTTCCTCACCACTATCAAAATGCCCTAGAACGAGGCTGGATCCAGGTTGTGGAGTATGCAAAATGGTAGTCAAACTGTGAACACTATTGCCGGGATGTGATTTGCATTGGCGCCCACCTCCCTTAGGAAAAGAAAGAAAAATGTTGCGCTATTGCCACTGACGCTAACTTCTCTAACGCTGACAAAATTTGGTGAAATTGTGCCCACAAATTAACTGTCTACAAATAGAGTATAGAATTTCAGGAGGTGATTTATGAACCGCTCTAGGGTGGGGGAAATGCTTGTCCACAGAAGCCATTAAGTGCCAAAATTTGGGGCTTATGGCACAGTGGCACAAAGCGTTTATTGTGCAACATTGCAGCCTTGAGAAATGATCTAATTGTCTTTCCTTTTTTCCCCTCCTACACCCCCAAACAACAAATTGGCAGAGAGGTTTGTTTAATTATATAACCATAGATAGCCTGACTCATAAACAGATCTCTGGAACTGGTTTTATCTTCTCTTATTATGGGTAAACAATAAATTGGACCCAGCTGACACCTTGGTGCTGCTATAAGAGGAAAAAGCACATGTACTGGCAAAAACAAGGTCTTTGTAACAAGCTATGGCCCGTATTCTTGGTTCATGTTAGAAACCAATTGTTTCCCTTTAAAAATATAAAAGTTTAAGAAGCGGCACAGTTTGATAGAAGTTGGTAGTAGGTTACGAACTATGAAGATGTTTCTCTTAGGCGATTCCAAAGATCTACATCTCAGTTGTTCTCTAAGTCAAAGCAATATCACATTTATTGCGCTGCCGTGCTAAAGAGACCAGGGTAAGATCAGCAGGTCCTCAGGAAAACATGGCAGCTTTAAGAACCGCTGCCTGACTTTGCTTTTTCCACTCCTCTCTCTGCATCAGCAGTGGCTGGTGGGGCAGTGTTGCTCACCTGGCTTCACAACAGGGAAGCTGATAACCAAAAGTGGGAGAGGCAAGGCAGCGGAGAGGCAGGTGTGGTGCAGGTGTGGTGGCAGAGCTAATCAGAGACTCCAGCCACTGCACCTGCACCATGCTGACCTCCCTGCTCCCTCTCAGTTACTGACAGTGACCTCCATGTTGCTGCCCCACCCCAATGTGCCCTGTTGACTGCAATTGATCTGCATTCCTTTTTCATTTTGTGGTATGCCTTTTCAATTGTAAGCCTGGGTGCAGGGATTATTTAAATTGTTGTTGTTGTTCTAGTAGCAACCCCAGAAGCCTTTTCGGCATCTGGTTATTGTGGTTCGCAATTAAGTATCAAGTTAGCAAGCTACTATTTCTCGATTTTAAATATTTATTTTTAGACTATGTTGGGAATGACCCAGTATTTGTTCCGATATGCAAGATTGAACTCCAGGCCAAGACCAGTCAGCCCCTATGGAAGGGAGAAGCCTTGGCCAAAGAACATAAAGAAGAGGATAAAAATGAAGACTGCCAAAATAAATTATTGAACTATGCAGGACAAATTATTACAAAAAAGGTCAATTGTTTAAAGCAATTTTTTTTAAGCTTTGTGTACAGATTTTTACATTAGTATAACTTTTAAAAGTCACTTGTAATAATACGAAGAAGGTTTTAAAATTGGATTGTTAAGTATATAAGGTTTTACGGACGTGCCTAAACTAGTATATTATAATGGAACCATGAGGAGGAGTGGAGGGAAGCCAACCAAAATTTATGGTTTAATTTGGTTATGATTTTTTTCTGGTTGGTTTGGTTTTTTTGTATTGTTGTTTTTGGAAAACCAATAAATTGTTATGAAAAAACAAAACAAAAGGGAATGACCCAGTATCGCTTCTTGTGCTGTGCTTTAACCTATACCCCAAAGTTTTTCCTTGCATTGGGAACCTGGGAAGGGGGAGATGTAAACTGTGACAAACTGTGCATGCACCAGTTCTAAAATTTGTTTTAGAAATTCTCCAAATCATACTAGAAGAGAAGTGGAAGAGAAAGCAGGGTAGAGTCAGCCTACTAAACAGTAATGAATTAGAATGGAGAATCTGGAGGAATTGTCCTTCGGTTCTGCTTGTGGGATTCTCATGGCCATCTGGTTGGCCACTGTGAGAACAGGATACTTACCTACATGGGCCTTGGGTTCTGATCCTTTTGTGTTCTTATGACATCTGTTTGTATCTAATTTAGTAGTTATCCAATAATTCACTAAACCTCTGGAAATATGAATGCAGCATAGTGGGCAGTAGTTATTCTAAATACAGTGTTGGACCTAGACAATGTTAGATCCTGGACATAATGTTGTTTGGGGAACTCCATTTAAACAGCCATGGGTATCCTTCAGTTGTGAAGCAAACTTTTTAATTTTAATTTTAATTAACTTTTTAATTTTAATTTTAATTTGCATAACTAATTGACAAAAGCATTGGATTTCTTGGCTTTTAAAGTCTGTTGATTTTATGACTATTTTATATCATTTTATGCAAACTGCTTAGAGGTGGGGTGTTGTTGTTTTTTTAATTAAGCGGTATATAAACTTGTTTAATTAATTAATTAATTTCTCCCAGAAATTATTCCAGCATCTCTTTTCTGTATCAAGCCATGAGCTGAAATTTTGCAATAGGACCAAGTTCCACATGACTCAGTATGGCCTGCTTTGGGGTTATTCTGCTCTGTGCCCTGGAATATGAGGAGAGGCATGGCTGTATTTTTGCCATAGCCCTAAACAACTATTTCCCACCCACCCACCCTCTCAGGACCGAGTCTGTCACCTGGGAGCTCAAACATGGCTCAGCTCCGTATTTTTCTTTTTAAAAAAAAAAAAAATAGTTGGTGTGATAATGTGCTCTGTTACCTCTCTGGCAAATCACAGGTTACATGCTGCTGGCTGTGCAAAAAAGGCTGCACGTTTCACTTTCCCCAGGCCTGGGACTACACATTTTGCTGCCTGAGGTGAAGGACCAAATGCCTCCCTCAGGCCCCGTTCTGGGTACAGAAACCAGCCAGGCTGGCAGCTAAATCATACTTCAACACTGTTGACAGGATAGTATATACCACTTCATGGGAGGATAGCAGCAGGCTAATTCACAGGGCACAGGGAAGGAACACACAGCTCTTTCCTTTAACTGAGAAGAATGGCTGGAGCTCAGGTGGAAAAGTCAAGGGGCATTGCTGCCCTCAGCAACTGCCACCTGAGGCAGTTGCCTCCCTTTGACTAATGGTAAGACCAGAACTGACTTCTGCCAATGAATCTTCTGTTTAATGCATTAAAGCTTTTAAACTTTGCTTAGGAATCAACAGAGTGTCTTGAACGGCAATGTTTCCCTCTGGCAGCCTCAGCGTGCTGCATTTTCTTAAGGTGGGAACAGTCCTTTGATAAGCCCACTTACCAATACATGTGAAGCCTTGCAATGGGTGGCCAGGCCAGGCCACCATCATGAGATGCCAAAATTCCCCAGTTGGCGTTTGTCACAGACAACGGCCTAGAAAGGTGCGATCTCACCACCACTTACAACCAGGTTAAAGAACCTTTTTCAGGTGGAGAGGCACATTACTTAATGGGCAAACTCCAAACTCTTTTCTTTTCTTTTTGTGGCGGGGGGGGTCAATGCTATTGGTGAGTGGGGCCAGAGGCAAAGTGGCCAGAGCAATGGGTGGGATTCCTGCTTTTGTACAGTAGGCTAGATTTCAGCCACACAGAGGTTAAGAGGCTTCTACACAACCACATATACATCTCCATCCTCCATACAGGCAAGCCAGAGGCATTATGGCAGGTGAAAGACACAATGTAGCCAGGCAAAAGCTCTTCTTGGGGAGGTACACAGCAGGACCAATGGATGATGTGGCCAAGGGATGGGCACAGCCAATGGAAAGTCCCAGGGGTCACATAGACAGGTCTGAAGGGCTTTGTTTTGCTCCCAGTTCCAAGGTTCCCTACCCTGCCTTACAGTACAACCCTATGCATGCTTGCAATGGTGGCCAAAATGAATCAAAGAATCATTCAGTCCAACCCCCTGCAATGCAGGAATCTTTAGCCAACATGTGGCTCGAATCCACAGCCCTGAAGAAGAAACACATGGGGTGGGGGAAGCAAAAACAAAATGAGGGCACTAACTCAATTTTTTTTAAATGCACATGCTAATTTATATGTATAGGTGGGAATTTAGACATTGCCAAAATTGGAATAGAAATGCAATCCATTTCACTATAGTGAAGGCAGCTATAATTGGGTTGACTGCATGCCTAGTCAAGTCTGTGGGTCCACATACTGTTGAGGGGCAGCTTCTAAGGCCCCTGGCTCTCCATTTTAATGGTTATCTTTAAACCACTACTTAAAAGGCACAAGAACATGTCAGGCCAGAAAGCCAGCCCCAACAAAGGCCTGAGCTGTTTGGAAGAAGTGTGGGGTGTGATCAGCTGCATGGATTAAAGAGAAGACCATTTTTACAGAAAGCCACCTGAGGCGGAAGAACATTGTAGCCGATTGCTTTATTGATACTGTATTACGAATGAAAAGTACAATAGGTGCATAATCCGGGCAGTTTGACTCTTGCATATTGAGTGCACACAAGTGAAATATTTCAAGATACATCAACACCCATACCCCCCCTTCCCCACTCCCTCCCCGCCATATAAAACTTGAGCAGACAATAATACATATGACAAAAAAACAAGAACAATTTTCTTTTTTAAAAAAAACAACAAATACAATTCTTCCCTTCATTTAGTGCAGAGGCAGCTAGGTCCATCACCAAAAGTCTGAGCCTTTGCAAACAGGCAGGATGAAATGGATGAAGCTCTTTATGGGCCAGTAAGACTGTGGAACCAGTTGGGGGAACCAGACTCCCTCCCTCAAGCGTTGTGGCTTTGCACCAGAGGTTGGAAGAAAACAGACCAGTATGTGTTTCAGCAATGGTTGTGTGTCCATTTTTAACCCTCCCCCCCCAAAAAAAACCACCCCAGAACAAAACACTAGTTTGTAAACGACAAATGCCCCAAGAATCAGTTGTGTTACACCGATAAAGGTATTTTTACATCTAACTCCTAGCGGGTTGTGCTCAGACAGGCTTCTACTATGAAAAAAATAGCCATCCTTGATTTGGTTGCTCTTCAGCAGGGGTCCATTTCCACGATTACACTTGTAGTGGAAGAGCAACCTCACAAAATCAGTTACACTTTTGCTCACTGCAACAGAAGGCTTGAAGACATCAATACCCATCAACCACTCATTCAAACATTACATGCCTTAGTACAGATTCTGTAGGTCTCTTGGGTCAGCAGGTTGTTGAACAGTGTTGTAAGTTTAGTAGTTCCCAAGGCACCTGGGTGATTCGAACAACCAGTTGAGTGTTCCGTAGGGTGTACTCAACTATCCCAGTACGTGAACACATTTCCTTTGGTTGCATTGCCACTATTTTTGTATAAAGCAGGCAGACCAAGGCCTATGTATGTTTACTCGGAAGGAACCAAAGTATGCACACATAGGAGTGAAGCATTAAAGAGAGTGCATGCAAGCCTGGAAAAAGAAAGCCCAACAGCCAAGATGCTATATAAGTTTTGATCATGTTCGGGGAAAGTCTTGTCCATATAATACGCAGCTCTACTTCCTGTGCACAGTTTAGGCTTGGATCCAATTCAAAGAAATCAATGTGGGAACTCACTCAAAAAATATGCCTCTCTAGAGTATACCAAGATTCTAAACTTCCTGGGATTTATTATCCTGGAATTTGGGCCTAACATGTTGACTGATTGGGCCCTGAATTTACATTTGCTTTGCTTTTTGAAAAGTTTTGGCAAGGTATGATAAAAACGCTTAACTTTACCAGGTACTAAGGTAAATGATTACACATGGTGGAGGGGGAAGAAATCAACTGTGAGGGGGGCAGTGAACCAGCCTGCAAGACGCAAGTGTTCCAAAGCCAATTTATAAACATACACTTTCCTTCACGAAACATTTACATGTGCCCCTTCACTCAGTGTTGTCTGTTGAGACTCCTCACCTCCCACCCACAAGTTGACAAGCACTTGAGCATGTATTAATTTTGTGGACATTCCACTGACTTGGACTAATATGCCGTAAGCTCAAAGCATGCAGGTACTTAACTGCTTTGCAATATCTGGGCTTGCTTTGTTAAGAACTCAGCCCAGACTATATATAAAATTCCCTTTGCTCTTTCCTCACTCTCAAAAAAAAAAGATCATCCCTGTTCCCTCTACCAAAGCATATATAGAAAGCTATAAAGGCAGCTTGATCATCTTTGAGCGACTATTTTACTTGTCACCTTAAAAAAACAAAAATCAAAGGGGGACTTTTGGTAAAGAGCTTCTATGAAAGCTTCTGTGTTGGAAACTTTTTTTTAAAAAAAACAACCTCTTTTGTTTTCCCCACTTCACCCCACCCAACCCCAAAACATTTTCATCTGAGCTGTGTATTTCCCCGCTCCTTTGTAAATGATTAAGGAGCATATTTTTGTGGTGTGCAGGGCCATGGAAAACAAAAAAATTCCCCAAATGTTTCATGGCTCAAGATTGCAACAATTTAAAAACTGATAACATTTTTTTAAAAAAAAAACCCTTACCCTCTCTTCAAAAAAAATTCAAGTAATCTTTATGTTCTTTAAATGTAGATATATAGATATAAGGCAAAGCAGGTACAGCACTGATAAGATGTTCCCCTTTTTCTATGCAATTTATATATGTGGCATTGCTTTTATGGTTCTAGATAAGCCAAGTGATTGACTATAGAACATTTGATTATTATTTTTTTATACCACCTTCTTCATACCTCTCCAATTAAGCCTTGAGTTTTGAGCAGATAATTGGGTTTTAAAAGTTCCAGTCCTTGATGCATCAACTCTCTCCTGTCCCTCAGGTCCTATGAGGCAGTGAAGAACAACCTTTCCTTCAAATTTGTTAAGTTACCTCCTTTTCCTCTGGAGTTTTTGTACTAACCCCCTCCCCCCAAAACTTCTCCCTCACTCTAGCAGGGAAAGGGGAAACTTGGTGCTTTAAGTGGTTGTTATTGCTGTCATTATGGGATGGCGCAAGAGAGCCTTCAGAAGAATTGCACCTTCCCCTTTCGACAGGGAAGAAGGAAGCAGAAGCAGAAGCAAGATAAGGAGATGGTCAATTGTTTTGAGCCATTTCTCCTAATAAGGCTCGATTGGGCAACAACAAATCTACGTTCTTGCCAAACCTGATAGATGCGAAGAGTCGCTTTCCAGAAAAATGGCATTGCATCAGAGAGAAGATGGCAGAGGTGACCAGAAAATTGATTTAAAACACCTTGGTAGGAGGATGGTGACTCTCAGGCTGCAAAAGCCAAAAATGAGTACTCTATGTACAATGATTGCTTCCATGGAACAGAATCAGGTAACTCACAAAGCACATGCATATGCCTTTGCACTTGGCATGCTCTGGGTATCAGGGAATGAGTGAAGGAAAAAATATTTTGATCTAAAATGCATATAGATGTATTATTGTGTTTCTGCATGTGCATGCATTTTGTGTATATGAGTGAAAGGCAATTAGCTCATATGGTCATGACCAAGCTATATTTCAGAAGAGAAAAAAAAAAAGAACACACTTATCACACTTTCCTAAAACGAAAAGCTAAAAAATTTCAAGTTCAGTATTCGAGATCTTGTCCTTCCCACCCCACCCTCTTCTAATTTTCTGGGTTCGTTTTCCCCTTTTCCAACTTACATTAGCACCATAACAACATTTAAACATTACAATCCCTCTTCAGTTACTACATACACACATACACACACACACACACACACAAAAATGGTCCCATTAAAAATAGTGCTTTTTCTGCCAAAAAAAGTTATATATAATATATATCTTATATAATTCAACTAAATCTGTGGCAAATGTGCAATGCAGACGCCTCCTCCATTAAAGTGAACTTAACGTTCACACACTCTCACTTCATCGGTGATTTTTAAAGGTGCAAGTACATTTGGAATTGTGTAATTTAAAAAAAGGTAGTGGGCCTCATCATTTCTTCTCTGGCTTTTAAAACATGGAAAAAAATGAAGAAGAAGTCTCAAACACATACTGTAGACTTGTGATTTCCAAAGGAAAAAAACTAGTGGGGTGAAAATGAGGCCAAAATTTTAAACCTTCAGATATTCCACTCCAACCCCCCACCCCAAATTCACTTTTATTGTCAATACAGACATAAACTGGGCTTCTTTCAATATCATTGTTTTCTCTTTCTCTGTCTTCATTGGTTGGTAAATTGACAGGCAGTGGCCCAATATTAAATAGTTCAAGTGCCTTAACTGTCCCTTTTAAGTAAAGGCTGAGAATACTGGGTAGGAAAGGAACAAGAACCAGCAGACAAAAAATACTTAAAAGACAATGCCACAGAAATGTTGTTGCTGCCACCGCCAACGATGTAATCCTGTTTCTCTTTCTATGTCAGTTGTTTGGTGTTAATGGTGCCCCTTGTGGTTACTCCTTGGTGTGAAAGGGCATCTGCCCTCACCCCTCCACCTTGGTTTGGGAGAGAGAAAAGGGTGAGGCCAGGCCTAGGAAATAAAAAATAAAGAGTCCATTTTGGAAATTGTTCATCACAGTTCACTTCTGGCTGCCCAATGTTTCTGAGGTGGTGGTTTGCACAACAAGAGGCTTCTGGGTAGGCAGGACAATCAAGGGGCGATGGATCTTTGACTCTTCAGACTCTTGCAGTCCTTCAGTTTGCCATCGATACCGGCGGGCCCGGTGGATGTTGGGAATCCCTCTCTGAAGGCGCTGTGAACTTTTCTTCTGCCATATGTCGTATTTTGAGTACCTGGCATGAGAGGGCTTTTGAAAGGGATCCTTAAAGGAAAGCAAGAGGGGGAGAAATGGAAGTGGAACATCAGTATGCTGCAACAATGAAATAGAGATATCCACAGTTTGAATTCACCATAAAATGTCACCCCACTCAATAGCAGCTACAGTCGTACCTTGGTTCTCAAACAGAATGCGTTCCGCGGGTCCCTCCAACTCCCGGAACTGTTTAAAAACCAAGGCACAGCTTCCGATTGGATGCAGGAGCGTCCTGCAGCCAAATGGAAGCTACACCAGATGCTCAGCTTCCGAAAATCGTTCGAAAACCGAGCACTCACTTCCGGTTTTTGATCGTTTGGGAGCTGAAACGTACAAGTTCCACATTGTTCAGCAACCAAGGTATGACTGTACTATTTGATTGGTACCCACTGGGCCAAAAAGACCTGGCAACCTTTGGAAGAGAGCGTGAGTGGCTGACACATTGGCACCCTGAACAGGAGAACTCCACATTCGGAAGGCTGCTCAGTAGCATTTCTCCCATAACCTATCAACAAGTGCTCAATGACAGTAAAAATCCTGTGCATATTTAGAAAAAAGGCCCTGCTATCTTTATGGTGTATATAAAGTAGGAACAATGATACACACATTTGCTTGATATTGCTTTTCTTTCCCACCCCCAGCAATTTCTCGATCTGCTTGTGTGTAAGACATTATCTGCACCTCACGCAGAGATAAAACTGTTTTGCTGTAACTGCAAAAGCAGCAGATGCTAAAGATACGGGTTCCTGGTTGTCCAATGCTAAAATGCCTCCTGTTACTCAGATAGAATCTCCACTTACCTTGTTCAGTGCTGGTAAGGCTACAAGAGAAGATGACGAGAGATCACGCTCCGATTTGACAGATTTTGCGCAGTAAGTTTCCAAAAGGTTAAGATCGCAGCTCCGGAAACAGCACTCCTCTACTATGCCACGGTTGAGCCTTCCTCTGTTTCTGCCCACAGGCCTACCTGTAATAGCAGAAATGCCACCTTAAAGTTAGAAAACAAATTAAAAGCATTTATTTATTTGCACATGGCACATTTTTAAAAAGCAACCCTAACCTTGAAAAGACAGCAGCAAATCCACCACTACATCCAAAGATCTGGCAGTTCATGCCAGCCAAGGCAGAAGGTGTAAATGGTTGGTGTTTGTTTTTGTTACACCAGGTTCAAGCTGGCATGGCTATGGGGCTTAGGGAGCAGGATCTGCAAGATCTGCAGGGCTTTGGACACAGCAGTTCAAAAGCCACTGGTGTTCTTCCTCCAGTCATCCCATTCTGGCACTTTCTACTGAGAACCCCCAGTAGTAGCTTCGCATCAAGCTGGGCAAAGCTGTGGACTCTGCCACAGAGACATCCCCCTCCATTGGTAGCACTCCTCTCCACTGACAGAGGCTGGCAGAGAGGTAGCTATACACACACCATCCTGCCCCTTCTCCCCAGTCATCAGCATGGGGTGCGTGTTGTGCCCTTGGTTAGTTAACACAGAAAGGGAGGGAAAGGGGACCAGGGTGCTAATCTTTTGTTGTTGTTGTTCTTTAAGACTGGCCTCACCCAAGTAGTTCACAAAAATATTTATTTATGAACCACTTTGTAGCCTAAGGCCATCAGGGCCAGAGCAGTGTACAAAATAATGTTACAGACAATCCCACATTTTATAGCAAAGTATTGGCATGCCATAAAAGTGTGGGAAGCTGAAACTTCAACTCTGCAATGGCTGCTCATCAAGAACTCACTGAACCTCTTTTTGCTGCCTGCCAGAGATAAAGATGACGACGACAACAACAATAATAGCAACAACAGTAGCCAAATATCAGAGTGGCCAGACTCCTGAAGCTTTAACAGTTGCACAGAAGAGTGAAATTTCTTCTTCTACCCAACTATTAACTGTAGGAGCCTCAGGGCTAGCCCAAGGCATTTTTGCCCCTGAGGTGAAGCACAAAATGCCCCCTCCCTACTAAGAAAGAAGGAGTGAGTAAAGATCTACATCAGGATCTCCTGCCCCTGTGGATTCTGCCGTCTGAGGCAGTGGCGTCACCTTGCCTCATGGGTGAGATAGTCCTGAGGAAAAAAACCCTTTCTGTGCTTGTCTCTGTGTACACATTCCCTTTAACTCTGCAGCCAGTGCGCTCACTCTGCTGGTTTGTGAAGCTGTGCACATATGACACCAGCCACCAGCCACATCTGTCCTGTAATTTCTTGAGAAATACTGCATTTTGATGTGTTTTCCTCCAAGCCAGCTTCAATTGGATTTGAAAACAGAAGCCAATGGAAGACATTCGTGCCCATTCTCTGCTCATTCATGTGGACAGAGAGCAGGTGATTTGGAAACACATTCCACCATACTGATGTGTAGACGATGTGCCAATGTGATTTGAAACACAGCAAGGGAAAATGACCTTGCTGGAATTTTGGCTGCTAATGGATACGCAACTTTCAGCATTCCAGGAAACAAGATCCTTTCATTTTAATGTACAGTACGTTGCATCAACATGCTAGAGTTAAGTGTCTCTTTGCTGTCCTGACTCATGCTCAATTCTGTGTCCACTGTTCTGCAGCTCAAAATATAATGTGCATCATGGCATTTCATGAGAAATTCCAGTATGCTTTCTATTACGGGTGTTTGTTTCTGTCTTCCTGGCCTGAAATGAATTAACTTTTCTATATCTGTCATCTGCTATTTTCTCTTTCATGGTTACTGCCAAATATTTCCTAGGATAGGTCACATTATCCAATTATCCTGTTAAATAATTGGACAGGGATTTGACTGTCCAAAATTCAGTATATCCTTCCATTCAATGCAAGACTCCCACCCCCACCCCAATAAAAGGTGGGGGGGAGCGAGCAAGGATATTCTATATCAAAACTATTTCTGCACACCATGAATGAAAGCAATGCACTTCTAGTGGGGAAAAAACAAATAGCACTGGTTAGTTTGAGCATTCATTCCAGAATGCAGTCATGTATACACACTGTCAGGCGGTGAGTTTCCCAACAGCTTAGTCTGTGATGCAAGGGTCACATGCAGACAACTGAGATTTTGCTGCTAACTAGAGAAGATGAAACAAAGCAAGTCTATAACACGAGCACACAGTAATAAAAGTACTTGGGCAATCATATATACAACTCTCAGATGTCCAAAGCACACTTGCACCAGTCCATCCATCCTCACAGCTGCCCTGTAAGGCAGGCCAGCATTGTCACCCCCACATTGCTGACTGCTTGAGGCTGAGAGAACTCCTCCTTTAAAGCTGCCTTGCTGCCAAAATGAGATCTGACCCTCGGCAGTTTCTGCTCCACAGCTTAGGCACTAACCCACCCTGCCAGCTCGCATCAGAGAGTAGGTGGCTGTCTTCCTTTAAATTGTCCCTTCTCCTTTCAGTTGACTCACCTTCATTATGAAGGCTGCTTTTCTTATTGGAGAGGTGTTACTGGGGCCCCATACAGAAGGAGGTCCCCCAGCCAGAGATCACTCAGGCTCAAGCTGGCTGACTTTCAGCAGTAAGCTATATTTGGGCCCCTTTGGTCCATTCACTGTCATGCAGTCTTTTGAGCTTCCTCTCAGGAAAAGACCCAGGAGGTCACATTCAACAGCACATACAGCCTTTGCATCCTGCACCCACACAGCAGCAGGCGACAGACACGGACACAGTGGCTAGACACTAATTTGCTGAAGAATCAGAGTCCCCCTTGCCTTCTTGGGGTTTTCGTTTGCCCCCACTCCCCCCCCCAACAGGAATTGCAACTAGCCTATGTTGTGTTTGCAATGTTGTTTGGGATTGTATTGCAAATGCACATGTGCGTACCAAGGAAGAAGTGTCTTGTGTATGTGCCTGCATATAGGGACTTATGTGCCACACTTCCGAGTAATTGTAAGATCCAGCAAAACCTGTGCCCGCTTTCCTCGCACGCCCCCTAACCACCACTTCTGGCTGATCAATCAAGCACCAAGTCAAGCGGAAGAAGACTTTGGGTGTAAACAATCCTCTCTTCCCCTGTCAAAGGAATGTGGGCACCAACAAGTGGTCCTTTGTCAGATGGCTGGGCAGCAGCAGCCATTGTTCCAAACCCCTCCCCCAAAATAGCTTCTCTCCCCCCTCCCTATTTTTCCTAGTATTATTCTGCAGGATGCAGAGAGAGAGAGAGAGAGAGAGAGAGAGAGAGAGAGAGAGAGAATGTGCTTTGTCAGCATAAGTGGCTGGAAAGAGCTAAATTCTTATCAGCTGTTGGAAAGGAAGAAACAGGAGCTGTTGTTTACAGAAATCAGATGCCTCTTCTGTCCTAGTCCATGAAGGAAGATTCAGGTCTCTCTTACCAATTTCTGAGAGGGATTTAATTTTTTGGGTGGGAGTCGAGAGGAATCCCCTCAGAGCTAAAATGTTTATTCCAAGTACCAGCCACTGTTCCACACGCCACACTAGGCTACTTATCTGGGAAAGGTGGGATATAATCAAACATACATACATACATACATACATACAAGAACTCCTTAAATGCTGATCAGTGTTCTGGATTTTGTGTCTATGGTTGATGTTGGTATATGGAAGCAACAAGAGCTGTTCCGTCTGCAGCATCTCCCTTCATACATTTTTGCAGCAGTTTAAGTGACTAGTTTTGCAAACATTGTGCAAAACAAATACTAATTAGGCTTCTTGTGGAGTATCTGCTTCCTAGCCCTACCCAGAGAGTATTTTTAGCTCTCTAGCCCCTCTCTCCAGCGCCGCCACCAGCATCCCCACCCCCACTAAGAAAGAAATGGTACTTAAAACATCTGAGAGCCAAACTCTCTTAGGACTCAGTGCAAGCCTGACTTCAATAGGACTATGATGAATTGCCTCAGCTGGGCTCCTGACCTTTGGGGCCTTCGGACATAGTGGTAGATTAAAGAGCCTAAAAAGCAACTTCCCTTCTAAAAATGTTTTCAGAGGAGACTTCAGACCACCTACTACAACATGGGAAGTAGGGGAAGGACATCTTTTGATGCCAGACAGGACAATGAGCTGCGCAGCATTCTTACTATACAGACTCTGGTCGATACTATGCTTCCTGTCTAGCTTATGGCAGCAAACACAGGCAGGTCTTTCTGTGCTGAAGTGCTTCAAGTTACCCTCTGTTCTCCTACCGCAGCAGAACATTTGGACCTCACTGACGAGCACTCTGTAATTTTCTGTATCCTTGACCACCTCCCCCCACCTTGCCAAAAAAGCTTGTCATTTCTATGATGATAACTCTAGAATGAATTATACCCAGTTATTAAGTCAGGGATCCATGTCCTGGAACCCAGATTCAGTTCCAATAGTTCCGTCTTGGGAACATATGAAGCAACTGGAGAATGCTGAGCATGTGTCCCTCACTGATTTGCAACCAGAAAGCAACATCACATCTAGGCTTAAAAGGCAAGGTGTCCCAATCAAAGTGGGTGGGCTTGTAGGCAAGCTTTGAGCTCAGTCATTGATCTTTTAAAATGTCAACCACTAGCTCCAATCCATGCACTTCTAAAATGCAATGCAATGCGCACACGCACACACAGATATATAATGAAGCCATGTGGGCTAAGAGTGGCCAGTGCGTGAAAAGGGCTCTATGCACAGACTGATGTACCGATATACCATGGGGGGGGCACCCTCATTGTTTCCAATATCATTTTCATCATTCCCAGTGCACCATGAATACAAGAATGCCACAAAAGCATAGAGGTGCAGAAGAATGCAATGCAACCGGATTCCCACATAGCAACACATTTTTTTAATCCTCTGTGTGACTAAGAAACAAAATGCTTTACAGTGGCCAGTTTCTCATCAATCACAAATGATCTCACGTGGTGGTTGCAAGGGTGAATGACATAAGCAGCTCAACACATTGGTGCTCTGAGAGACAAACCAACCTATACTGAAGGAACACTTGCACAGACCCCATCATCTTGTGTGCTGGAGGGACTTGTCCTTGGGCAAGAAAACTCCTTGCTCGCTAAAGACTTCTCATTGGGAAATTAGGTGATGGTTTCAAAAGTACTGTTTCAGGGATGGTATTGATATTATTGGATTGTATGTGGCTACCCATCAATGTAAGTTTCTGGTGGTAGTGGGCACTCTTTGCAGGGTAAAGAGTTCAACTTTGGCCGAATTCAAGGCAAAACTCTTCTGAAACCAGGTAAGCTGTGCTTTTGCTCAAATACAGCTCTGACTCAAAATGGTACAGGGATCTAATCTCAGATAACCCCCAGTCCCATTTTAGGTTAAGCAGTTTAGCTGCAGCATCCATGGGATTAGACTTCATGTCTCACAGAACTTCTGCCTCTCCAGTCAACAGCAAAGCAATAAGGCTCAATTAAGCAGGGCATCACCACCGACAGCACTGCCAGGGGTAAACAATGGGCAGGGATGGAATTGCTTCTCGTTTCTTATTTATTTTATTGGATTTATATACCACCTTCCTGAAAAGACATCTAAGGGCATTTACAACTTTAAAACACTAAAAAATATATGATGTAAAATGTAGAGTGACTCCAGAGACAGATTTAAGGGAGCTCAACCGGTTCAGTTGCACTGGGCACAGAGCCTCAAGGGTGCCACCATTATGATGCCGAATGGAAGGTGAGAAGCGCAAAGTGTGTGAATTTGAGACCCCAAAGTCCACCAGTGGTGACTCTCAGTTCCACCAGGAGCCCATTGTCTGTGTGCTCCCTGGCTTGATCTCCCTCGCTTCTGCCTTCCCTCAGGACACATAGGTCTTCAGCAAACAAGGGAAGGAAGGGCCTTTTACAGACCCATGAGCTGTAAGAGGAAAATGAGTGCAGGAGAGCTGGAGAACTAATAGCACAGTCCTGCACATGTCTATTCAAAAGTAAGTCCCACCAACTTTAATGAGGCTTAGTCCCAGGTCAGTGGGCAAAGGATTTCAACTTTTACGTTTTATTCACACACACACACCAGTTATAAGGGAAAGACTTGTAGCTTACATATGATGAATACAGGTTCGTTCGTGTCACATTGCCCAGTAATAGGAAGATAGCACTGGCCTACCTTATAGGGCTTCTTTTGAGATGGTATTTCATGCATATGTTTTCAAAACTTGAAATACACCACATAAAAATAACATCAACAAAGGCCGTGCATAAAGAATATACTTACTGAAGTAAAAACCTCGGTCTCCACAGACAAACTGCAGTGTGTCCACCAGCTCTCCCCCACAGAGGGTTTCAGGAGCACCATATGCAGAAACAGAATCCACTGTGTAGGCCAGGAAGGTGAGGGCAAGCAGCAGTATCCTCCTGGAGGTGCACATCTTCTGCACCTAAGAGACACATGTTCAAAGACATTAAGAATGGCTACAGAATGGTTCCTTCTATATTATCCAAACAGCTGTGAAATGTTGAAAACGGAATACAGTAGCAAAATAAGTGTGTGTGTGTGTGTGTGTGTGTGTGTGTGTGTGTGTTTGGTCTTTTTTTATTCTGAAAACCAAAGCAATCCCAACAAAGCATAGGTAATTAATATTGTATAATCTATATTAGTATTAACTCTGCAATCCATACTAAATCATTTGCCTGAGGCTTTCCCCACCATACCTTTCCCAAAATTGAGTTCTTCAAGTGCAAAGGAAGAAATGACACCTTGCCTTGCTTTGAGAGTTAATTAATTTTGAGCTCAGGTCCTGAGCATCAAATTGCCACAAGTGACTTTCCAACGAGATAATGGCCTCCCCGATTGTCAGCTAAAAAGCAACACCTCTATATTGAACAGGGAGGTAGCATAGAGAGAGATCTCTTGGTGGGAAAGGGAATGCGTCCCTCAGCTCTTGCAGTTTTCTCTGGATGGCCTATCAGGAGTCAAATGTAACAGACAAGATTGACAATGGGGATGAAGAGACACACGCCAAGGATAGGGCAATACACAAGCAGCTCACATTACAAATACCATAAACAGGGATGGGGAACCTGCAGTTCTCCAGATGCTGCTAGAATACTGACTCCCATCAGCCCAGCCACCAGGGTGATGGGAGTTTGAGTCCAACATCTGGCCACAGGTTCCACATTCCTGCCATAAAACATACGTTGAAGAAACCAACATAACAAAGCTCACTGCAGCCACTTCAGTTCACCTTGTAAAAACTGAAGCCAGGCGATGAACAGTTGTTTCACTGAAGGACTCAAGGCAGGGCCCCCAAGTCCAGATACAAGGCAGGCCCCGTCTCCACTATATATTTAAAGCAGTATCACATCAGTTTAACAGTTATGGCTCCCCCTCTCCCCAAAAAATATCCTGGGGTGTGTAGTTTGTTAAGGGTGCAGCGAGTTGTTAGGAGACCCCGATTTCCCTCATAGAGCTACCATTTCCAGAGTACCCTGGAAAGAGGGAAGCTCTGTGAGGGGAATAGGGGTCTTCCATCAACTCTCAGCACCCTTAACAATCTACAGTCGTACCTTGGTTGCCAAACATCTTGGAACTCATACGTTTCGGCTCCCAAATGATTGAAAACCGGAAGTGAGTGTTCCAGTTTTCAAGCGATTTTCGGAAGCAGAACATCCGGTGTGACTGTTTCAAGTGGCATGATACTGCTTTCAATGTATAGTTCAGATGGGGCCCTAGCTAGGACAGAAGTGCTACCTGCATTTCCAAACAAGAGAGAGTGTAAAAGCTTGTCAGGGTCTAGACCCTGTGGTGGAGGTACACCATACTATAAACATTTGGCTTCCCCTCCCCCAAAAAGGCCACAAGTTTCTATGCCAAAAATAAAGGTACTAATATATATATATATATATATATATATATATATATATATATATATAATTAGTGCCATATAATGACTTTAGAGTCTTCTGGAGAGATATACAGATATAAACAATAACAATATATTGCACCATATCAATAAAATACAAGTATATAATAGCACAAAACAACCATATTACAATAATAACTGCACCAATCAAATGTGTTATGAATATCATGATTCACCAAGCATGTGTCAACTGATAAAAGTCTTTAATGGCATACAAGTAAAGAGGGACATCTCTTTACTTTTGAGCAGGACCTCTAAAGTGTGTAATTATATTTGTGGCATGCTGCAAAAAGTTATTTTGTACAGTTATTTAAAAAAATGAAACAATCTTGCTCTTTTAAAGTACAGCAACACCTGGTAAAAACCAATTCAACAACAGCTTGTCCTCAAACAATACTTGGTCATCTATAACAACATGTTGCTCCTCCTATTCAGTGAAATCAGGGCACCTTCTTTGTCAATCATAAATTTCAAAAATGGGTATTTTGACCTATCAAATATAGCTCCCCTAATTGCTAGACTGTTGCTCTGAACAACTTTAAACCAGACTTAACACTGCCTTCAGAGACAGCATTGCTGTTCTTTGGAAAGTCTAGCTAACGTATGGTCATCATTCACAACAGCACAAGGCAGACAGGGTGACCTTTCGTAGAGTTGGAATGAATCCCACCAGTGATCTAGTTCAATCTATTCCTGGCTTAGCCCCAAGCTTTCTAATGTGACCCTAGACAGAGTCCAAGGCCGGCTTTCTATCCATTAATCCATACCACCTATCCTGGATTACCAACTTTCTAGTAACTTACAGTCTACTCAGTCCCCAGTGGAGGAGTCCCACAATGCAGATGCAGGGAAATAATTGCTGTACTAGGCAGGAGCAACACAGTGATGGCCCAAAGGTAGTTTGGTATATTATTTCAAAACAGTTTGATTTGGTCTTGAATCAAGTGCTGTTTCATAAGATTCACCTTGAAATTAAAAATCTTAAAATACTTTCCCCTTTAGACCCAGAATAATGATCTTAATAAATTGGTGTGTGCGTCAACTTGTAGGTCATGAAATCTATTAATGAAAGCAGTGTCTGTCCAAAGTATTTTAGGATCACACAACTAAGCTCTTGAGGGATAAATATATTTGTGATTATTTCGGTACAGTATGTTAACCTTTGCAGCTCCCCTATTTTGCCTCCAATATAGTCTGGAAGCAGCACAATGAAATAATAGTTTAATGTGTGCATGCTACCAACATCTTCTGCCTCTGTTAATGGTTAACACTGCACTGAGTCGAGTCTAAACCAACACCACCTATCAGTTTACAACACATGGTGATTTGATTTTCCTTCATTATTAGAGAGCTGCTGTGATTTGGCATGCAGTGCTGCATGCAAGCATCTGTGTGGCTAAGTGGCCTCTCTAAGTGATTTTTGTAAACAGAGAGAGGCTCAGCTTGCTCAAAGCAATTGGTCCAAATCAATGGTATAGATTTAGCCTGTCCTATATTAATTCTGGAAGGTGCAAGTATCGCAGACTATCCAGGCTTCTAAACAAAGAAATAACCACAACAACCAGTACCAAGGTGTTTGCAATGCACTATTTTAGCATTTTGCTATATTCGCCCATATTACAGGTATGATTATTGTTATTCCCTCCCCCTTCTAGGGATTCAGTATTTCTTAAAGAAAATAAAGGAGATATTGTTGCAAATAGAGATCTGTGAGCAGGATCTCTTGTGTTGTGATTGTAGCTGGAATAGGGGAAGGATGTTAACTGTGCTGCCAGGGAAGAGAGGGCTTAGGTTTCTGTGCCATTTTCCTGGTTAAGAACAAACCATTGCCCCCAATGTGCATCACAGGGCAAAACATATGGGTACCTGTAAGTGCAGCCATCACCAAGGACAGGATTTAGCTTTTGGAGTACCATGTTGCCTTTCCAACTGTCCACGGGAACATGCCAGAAGTTGAAATCCTGAGTGTGGCGGTGGATGCCACAGGTGGGAAGCCAACAAGGGACTTGGTGACCTGCCAAACCTCAGAGGCTAAGTAGAGGCAGAAATTCTGCCACACAGTCCCAAACGTCCCAGTGAGCTACAAGTAGTGACCTGTGCTCCCTAGCCCTACCTACGCTGCATCAGATGAAGCAAAAGTCCCGTCAGCCTACCTGGGCTCATCTTGTAGGCCGCATGTGTAGGCCGCAGTCCTGTGTTCCGTTTGCTAAAGAAGCTTAAGGACAGCCAAAAATCCCAGCTCCAAATTAACTTCTGCCTCATGTTGTTAGTTTAACCACCTTGTCATTGACCCTGGTCACAGTTAGTCGCCCACAAGTGGTTGCTTAATTCTGACAAACTGGCTAAACAAGTGTGTGTGTTATTTGGGGGGTGGGAAGGCATCTCTGCAGACATACATTGTAACCAAGCACACACTGCAGCCTAGTCTATTGGCCAATAGACTATTAGCCAATCCCACAGAGTGCTTCTTTCAAGCCTAACTTGGGAGAAGGAAAGACCCTGTGGGCACCAGAGAAGACCTCTGGGCTCTCCTGCAGGCACCACTCTGGCCATCCCCGCTCTATCCCTCCACGCTATGTGGGCATTGCAATGACAGGAGGTAGGTGATGTGGCTCTTCAAATGGCTTGGCATGTCAGCAATGCAGACACCCCCACTCATAACAATATCTTGGCAAAACTCAGAGATAACGGCATAGAAAAATTCAAGTGGGGAGATGCAAACCCAAATGAAGAAGCTATTTCACCCCCACTTCCTCACTTCTCACCACATATTCTGTCTGCTAGCTTATCTCCACCTTTCTCTTGAAGTGGAAGTCAATGGTACTTTTAAGTGAGCAGCCAGAGAACTCTTCCATGGTTCTAGGTATCCAACTTTCCACTCTGTCCTTTGATCCCGTTATTAAACTATTCTCTCCTGCCCAAGCCACAGCCCAGGAGCTAATGCAGGCACCTTGAGAGGAGGAAGCAACTGTTTTGTCATCAGCAGCAGTAATTTCAGATAATGTTCAGACTGAAATTAGAATGGCTTCCCCTCACCACAGAACTGATCCATTTTCCATTTGAATAGAATTCCCTCTTCCTCACAACAGCTGCTTCCCTTCCTCCCCTTAGGCCAAAAGTGAACAAGCTGCACTTACATTATTCTCTTGCTGGTGGTTTCTGTTAGGAGAGCCATTTCTGAAGCATCCTGAAATAAATGCTGCGCAAAGGGGAGTATGGTACTTGTACTGTAACCTAAGCCAGCACCAAAATGGACGCCCTGCATGATCCCATCCTGTGATCTCTCCTCCCACAATTAAACGCTGCGCTTTTCAGATACAACTCAGCAATGTTCACCTTGGGCAGATTTCCTACCCTTCCCCCCACCTTCCCTTCTTCACCACCAGAGGCCAATGTAATAGGAGACCAGGCTGAGAACAGCAAGGGAGCAAAAAAACACCCTTGTTTACAGGGTGCTGAACTCCCTGCTCTTTCCCATCCCTAGGTGAATCTTCTGCAAACAACCTTGCATCTTTGTGTTTACTCCACAGGAGTCCAGAGACAATGGGGCAGCAGAGATAACAAGGGCTTAGTAGCAGGCTTAAGAGCCAGTGTTGCCATGTGGCCTGCTTGCTGCCAAGCTCTCATTCTCCTCCCAGCAACAACATGTGGACACTGTGACTTTCTACAAGTTGCTGGGACTCCATCGTCCATCAGTACCAGCCAGCATGGCCAACGATTAGGGATGCTGGGTGATGTAGTTTAGCAACATCTGACACCAGGTTATTCACCCCTGCCCCTAAGCACTCAGGCCAGAGCCCACACTCCACTCCCTTGGAGCAGGTTGGAATCAGGGTAAGCACCTTGGTAAGGGTTCAGCATCAAAGACGAATGGCCACAGCTTGTCAAGTGCCTCAGTTAGATATTTCCAACCTTGTGGATTTGTCTCAAGTGGATACACAGGAAAGCCATCAGGTCTGGGCTGATTAAAGGTGGAAATAAACACAGTTAAGTTCCCTCCTGTGTGCCTGAGGCCACCTTGAAATAGAGGGCTGACTCTAAGGAAGGGCACGGGGAGAGAACAGCACAGGCCACATGAGAACATTCCTCAGTAGTACCTGGATCTCAGAGCAGGTTAATGGTTCTACATGCCAAGTAATTTCTATACAATTCACAGTGCAAACCAATACCAGTCCACTCAGAAATAAAGCCCATTAGGTTCCATGGGTCTTACTCCCAACAAAGTGGGTACAGCACCTATATTACTAGCTGTGCATGCCAAAATAGCACATCCCTTTGCTTTAACCAAAACAAAGTGGAGCAAAGGGGGCCTGTTTGCCTCATGATTGGTAACACTGTAATACATTCATTTCATTTTAAAATGTAGCAACTGCTCATAAAAGCCGCAACTTTTTTTTTTACACTTATAATTCAGATATATTCAAGAGCTGACTTGCTGAATCTTGCATTTGAAATTGTCCCCCACAGTTGAATTCCACCCCGCTGTTAATATTATACTGCCCGTGTATATTAAGGGGCCTACTTAATGTCATGGGCCAGAGAGTGAGTTGTGCCAATTTCCTATAAAGCCATTGGTGGGAGGGTTTAAAAATCACAGGATAAGCTGGTGGGAAGAGGATGCTTCAATTATCAGCTGTTTTGTTCTCCTGGTAGAGGTTCTTCCAGGTTCAGCTGGGAGGAAATGGAAGAAGCTTCTTTTTTGGGGGGAGAGCATAAGTGGGGAAAAGATTCTCTAGCTTCCCATTGTATGCCTACAGGTGTTTCTCCACCTTTTTAGAGTACAGCAATGGCAACCTGCTCCTGTCACATTGGCCTGCTACAGTTACATCTAGTTGCCCCTTAACTCTTGTACTTGTATGATCTTAATTGGTTAGGTGCACACAGGAACTTCAACAAAATGTTGTCGTGCAAGCTGTTCCTGTTTGGATTTCCAACCCTTCAATTCCAGTTCCCTTATAATTTATCTATTTATTTTAAATTCTGATTTAGCTACATAAGGAATAGCACTTGAATAACTGAATTCCCCATTGTGGGTGGGTGGGGGGGGTGTTTGTGTGTGTGTGTGTGTGTGTATACACACTGCCAGTACAGGAAAGAACCTTTCCATGTGTTACAATAAAAAAGGCAGCTTTGAAACAGAAGTTCATTAGCATGGTAACGATAAAAATAAAAGGCAAGAGGCACAGAGGTGTTAACTTTTATTATGTATCCCTGGATTTCAGTATGTTGGAGTGTGGTGTGATAAAGCTCCACAGCAAAGCCACATACCTCAAAAGCATAATATCAGAAATTAGAGGTCTAATTTATGTCTGCTGCTTCCACTGGACACTTCTCCTCTAGCTTACACGTAGCTGTTTTCCTTGTCACCAGCATCCCAAGTCATAATAGCCTCCAGGCAAGCTGGCATGGATGTTATGGTGCTTTCAGGTCATAAATGCCAGGTCCTTTCAGGTCACAGATGCCATAAATTATCAATGCAGGCATATGTGTATACCTATCAGAAGAGGCATCCCTCCTCCTTTCTCACACAGAAGGGAAAGCCGCTTCTGAGATGGTGCCTGGAGTGACATGTGTGCAGCCTCTAGGCTTCAAAGTCTAAAACTAAGAAAAGAGCTAGCAACTGTTTAATTCCTATGCAAATTATATAGTTTGAAACCAGGCAGAAGCTCATTTTGGCATTAAGCAGCATATAAACTAATAAATCAACATCAAAATAAAACGAGTAAAGAGGTCATGCTGTTAACTGACCAACATTTCTCCAAGTGACAGCTCTACTAGGAAGGTCTGTGGACTGATTTGCAAGGCTGCTTTAAGTTGGCTTCACCTGAGCTGACTTAAGGGTGGGAGACAGAGGGCCATCTGTCATGGATGCTTTAGTTGAGATTCCTGCATTGCAGGGGGTTGGGCTAGATGACCCTTGGGGTCCCTTCCAACTCTACAATTAGAAGATTCTATGATTCTGTGAACTGTGGCCCTCCACCTGTTGCCCTTGAGCCTCAGCCATCAGGACCAAATGGTCAGAGTTGAGGTCCAGCAACAGCAAGCGGGCCACAAGGCACCTCCCATTCCTGATATAAGTCCTATCTGAAGGGCCTTCAAAATGCCATTTTTAAAAAAGGTGAAAACAGGTCGTGCTGGAAGAACACAGATTATTATTTTTGCTTTCAGATGTGGAAAGTGTTGGGGGTTGGCTCTCCCTGCACCAACACAAGCTACATATACGTTTTCATTCAATTATATATAACTCGGTCCTCCCTTGCAACCTCTCTCACACATACACCTGTAGAACCAAAGCAAACTTCAGCCACCTGAGTCTGATGAAAATGAGTTGTATTCATAGAACCTTGGAATTGTAGAGTTGGAAGGGATCCCAAGGGTCATCTAGTCCAACCCCTTGCAATGCAGGAATCTCAGCTAAATGGAAGGATACTCCAAGTAGTTCCACTGAAATTAATGGGCATGTCTGACTTGAGTCCATTTGTAGTCTCATTAAACTGAGGTCATATCCAAAACATGCCTCTGAAATTCTTTGGTTTTCCACCAAAGAATCCCGGAAACTCTAGTTTGTTAAGGGTGCTAAGAACTGTAGCTCTGGGAGGGGTACCTTACAGTTCCCATGATTTTTATGGGTTTTAAATGTATGGCATGGATGTGACCTTAGTTGGACACAACCAGTCTTCAGTGCGTCTTTTCAGGTGGTCCTTTGCTTTAAGATAAGATAGTGGGGAAGGGGACCCAGCTAGCGGAAAGCTCCCCCTTCAGCCTCCTGTGCCACAAAGGAACATCATATTCAGGCACCAAGCCTCAATCTGTGTACATTTACCACTGAAATAAGAGTATTGCTTGAACTTTTTTTTGGGGGGGGAGAGATTTAGTACATTAAATAAAAACAGGAACAATCTTTCTAAAGGCATCTGGCAGGAGACAGGAAAAGGGAGATTTAAAAGTCAGCCTTCACCCAGGTGACTGATCAGTTTCAGTTGCTCAGGTTAACAACTTTCTTTATTTCCCCCCTTTCCTTTTCTGCATTTGCTTCCAAAACCTGAAGTCAATAAGAAAAGGGGGGGGGGGGGATACGTCTCTCCCTTGCAAGCAAAGTCCATGGTGAGCTGGAGTCGACTGGCACGCAATTTGCCCCCAAACAGATTTCAAATTGGCTCTGTTTCCTGGCAATTCGTAGCTAACCCTCCCAAGCCCTGCAAGAAGACAAAATTCCCGCCTGTTGAAAGCTTCTTGTTTCACAGCCTCCTCCTCCTCCTCCTCGCTTCACCCCTTGACGAAGCAGACTCTTGCCGAGAAAACGTCTTGGCACAATAAGACAGCCAGTCTAAAAGCCGCCACAGCACAGAATTTCAAGATAGTAACAGCAAGTTAAAGCACACAAGTCATTTCCCCCCCCCCCTCCGTCCCTACTCCCCGCAGGCAATGCCTCTGTTGTACCCATTCCACAGACAGCTTAAGAAAATATTTGCACCATAAAAGATGAGTGCTTTTTGGCTGCCTGAGACGGCACTGTAAACTCCCCTTGATCTCCCTTGAGCTGCTGTAGATCACTCAACAGGTCAGAAAGAACTATTCTAGTAACAGCCTTCTGTGCAAACCACAGGTAAACAGCTTTTCACTTTAAAGAAAGTTGCGAAGAAGATGTCTCTTTCTGCAAGAAGCTACGTTGCATGTTCCCCAATAAAGATCTGGATATTAGCAAAGGGAAGCCCTTTTCCCTCACACACCCCTCAACTCAACTGTCTCCCCTCGAGACAGTATTTTGTGCCATGGCTGGCTAAAATCTCTTGGGGTAAAGAGAAAAAACCCGAAACCTGAACAACTGTTGACAAACACTAGTGGTGCTGAAGTGAGTTGTAAACAGTCGTCTACAGTAGGGCAGAGTGAAGCACCAGCCGCAGGGTTTGAAGCATCGCTCTCTTCTCTCCCTACGACTATCTCAGCTAAAACCACCAATGCAAACCTTCCCCCGCCCACTCCTCCTTCCTCCTTTCCTTCTTTTTAAACACTCAGCATTCTAAGCCACAGATTAGGAACCCTGTCAGCGTACTCCTGGCTGAAAGCGGTTCAGACACATCTGCTGGTACAGTTATGTTGAAAACTACAGTTTCCTCAGGTCACCCAAATCCCTCCAGCTCAGCAGAGTGCTAAAACCTTTCCAAGTTTCTCAAAAACAATTACTTCTGGGGAAAGCAGTTGGAAGAAAAGAAAAGGAAAAGGAGAGGGAATAACAACAAGAATAATCTATACAAAGTAGAAGGCCATGTGCCAGCAGTTAACTCTCGGTCAGTTTTGGGCTTTATTTTCCAGTTTTCTCCCCACACCCCTCCTTCTCAGTGTTTTCATCCCTCAGAGACCTAACATGCTGGAGTGTTTTTTTTAAGAAGTGAATTTAACTGCCAGGACTAAGGAACTGTGTGTTCTTCATACAAAATGCACAAATCTTCAAACACCCCCTCCCCACTTCTAAGCAGCTTGAGAAAAGCAGGCAATAATTTTGTAATAATAATACCAGTAATAATAATAGCACGACTTAGTGTTCCGTCCAGCAAACAAGTACATGACCTTACATGTCCCTGTGCACAGAATTGCAATCCAGATCTCCAAATCACATGTAGGAGGACTTACGCCTAACTTCATCTCGACACTTCTCCACAGGCAAAATACAAAGGGCACCTTCGGTTCTCCACCCAAAAGGTCCACATACAACCTGAGGACTACCGGCTATTTAATTTCAAAGCACCATAAATGCAATTAAGACCCTTGGCATACAAAAATGTCCCTAGGTTGCTTTTTTAAAAGTAACAACAGTAATAACAATGGCAAAGGGCAGAAAACGAGGCGCACAGCTTTTGCAAAACAATTTCTGGCCAGCAGCAACACCTCCATTCATAAAAGTGACGAAGGAGTGGAGGGTTGCCTCCCGTCTCCTTTGACAGATCTAACTCTCCGTTGTGTATTGTGCAGCCCGCGCCTTCAAGTGAGATTTACCAGCCCCTTCCCCGTGAAATTGCCTCCCGTTTCATCGCTCTGGGTATTAACAGTCCTGCAGCCCCCAGCCCCTACAGCGCAGGAATGTTCCCGGAGCTGGACGCTTGCAAAAGCTGGAAGAGTGCAAACCTTTGCAAGGAGTCCAAAACAGGGGACTCTGACCCATCCCTCGGGGTCCCTCTAGCGTCACCAGGCCAATATTGCAGAACGGGGGTCTTAGGGGGTTTGTTTTTCCCGACTGCTCCGCTAACCCGAAGTCTGCCCACCGAAAGTTGTGTGTGTTTGTGCGGTATGGTTGGTTTTTAAAAAAAGTATGCAAACTCTCGCTCCGTGCAGCCGGTCCCCTTTGCAGCGCGAACTTTCTGCAAAACGCTTGCACAGCCGTTGCGAGAAGGGGAAAACCGCCTCACACAAAAAAAGGTGTGCAAGGCGGCGGGGCGGGGAGACGGACCGCACAACTCCGAGGCAGAGTGCGCAAAGTTGTGGGTGGCCAAAGGAGCCCAGGACTTGGAAAAGTGCTCGCGTAGCTCTCGGGAGCCGAGCGCAGAAACTTTTGTGCTTCTTCTCCAAGACGGGCTCCCCATCCCCGGCCGGACTCCAGCTATTGGCTTCTCTTTTTCTGCAATCGGTGTGTCCTTCGGTGAACTCGAGAGCCCACGGAGCGACGGGAGAGAGCGAGAGAAAGAGACGGAGCGCGCAAAAATAAAATAAAAAAGAGCATCCCAGGGGAAAAAAACCGCACGAATGTGGCAGCTTTGCTCTCGGGGAGAGCTGCTACTCCGAGATGCTGCTGCTGCTGCTGCTCTGCCCTCCGCGCCCTGCACCCTTCCCGCTCGCTGCCCTCCGTCCGCCCGGCTGCTTTGCAAACGGGAGATAAGTCCCGGCTGGTTTGCTTTTCCCCTTACCTTTGAACTGCCACAGCTGCTGCTGCTGCCGCTGCCGCCGCTCTCAACTTCTTGCGTGCAGATTTGGAACAAGGCTGGGTGGCTGTAGCATTCATCCATGTGGTTCCTCTGCTTTCTTGACATCGTGAGGCTGCTTTGCTGGGTTCTCTGGCTGTATTTGGTATAGCAAGTCCCTTTTTTGAAAGAGAAATCTCTGTCTGTCTGCATATATTTAAGAGGTTTCCTTCCCCTCACCGCCACCACCTCTCTCTGTCTCTCTTTCTCTGTCTGCCTGTCTGTCTTTGCTGCCTCTTTGCGTGGGTCTGGTTTCCAGAGGCAGCGCTGGTGGGGCTTCCCAGTAGCAGCTAGAGCCTCAATTAACTGCTCCACAGCTGAGGAGACAGACTGAGAGCGCTCACTGTCTCTTCTTTTATACACCCATCCAATGGGCATGCTCAAACTTCCAGCCATCAAGGTAGCAGCCAATAAAATTGCAGAGGTTATCTAACCCCTCTCATTCGCCCCCCTCCTTTCTTAACCTCCTCCCTTTTACTTTTTTTTAAGCTCTCCTGAGACTCCCATTTGGAAGACAAAAAAAAAAAAAAAGTTCCAATAGTATGGTTGGGGGCTCTTACTTCATAGAGAGCATTCCTCGTCCTCCCCCCTCACAGGAAAGAGGGGGAAATGTGGAGGGTGGGTTTGCTTGCATGCATGCATGCTATATAGATATACATTTCTTTGGTGAACTAAATCAATGCTATTGGGATTGAGAGATGTCAGCACCTTCAGGCTACCCAATGTTTAACAATGATTTGCCTTTCATCTCACTGATTGAATTAATCCTCCTTTTTAATGTAATCGAAGCTCAGGTCAAGGAAAGAGCTCTGCAGTCATGCTCCAGTCACACTGATCTTGTTAATCAATGACTATTGCTCACCTATCTCTTCTTGTTTATCAGTGGCTATTGCCCACCTAAATTGTTATATGTAAGTGCAACTAAAGAAAGGCCCTGCCAACTTGCTCTGGGGAAGGGAGGTCAGCCCAAAAGCTCCTGACCTCAAGATCTTACTCAAACTCACTGCCCTAGGAAGAGTGGGTGCAATGTTGAGGGGATCTACTTCTCCCAAGTGCACCTCAATTTCTATAGGAGAAAAGGCAGACTCAAGGGGTGATCTTGGGCACTGCCACACCCACCCACCAACTTCTCAATCCCCTACAAGGGGCTCTCAAGGTGTTTCCTCTATGGGAAATGTCCCTGGGTGCTTGCCAGTTTCTTAGTATGTTTACTCAGCCCCACACTATCCCTGTCTAAAGTTGTAACAACCTTCATGTGGATTTAACAGAAGCAAGGTAGACGCCGCTTCAGATGGATTCTTAGTCAGCATAACAGAAAGCCTGAAAGGAATGGAAACAACAAAACAAACACCAGTCTCCCACAATCCAATAAGGGAGTCCTTGGGGAAAAGACCTGCCCTATTGTCCTCTAGTGGTGATCTGTTGTAGCCCCACAGAACCTGGGAAGGGCAGCTTAGTTATAAATTGTTTCTATGGGCTGTATCCAACTTAACACAATTAGGAGGGTTGGGGGTTTTTTTGTTTTTGTTTTAAAGGTGCTGTTAATTATGAATGGGTTTTTCTCCTTGAAATTGACAGTTCAGTTTTCTTTTGATCAATTGTCTTATTTTCCCATAAAAATCTAAACAAGGGAGGCAGTGTTAAACCAATAAGCTTTTGTCATTTTTTATGAAAAGTGTAGGACAATCATCTTCTATATCAAAATAGGTCCACAATTCGTGCTCCCTACGTTTTCTTTTTTCTTTTTTCTGGTAACAAGACAAAACTTTTATTAACCTTTGAAACACCAAATCTAGGAATTGGTGGAATTGTAGAGTTTGGCACTAGCTGGATAGAGCTTCTTCTTCTCAGCTTTGGTGCTGCCTGGGAGTAGCAAACCTTGAATTATTAACTATCTTTATTTTAATGATACATCTTTAGTGCATACAGAACTTCAATCACTCAGTCAGCCGAGCTGAGTAGCACACCATTAATATATAGCCTACATATTGATGCAGTTCCATTTTTGAAATCCGGTGTAGATTAATCCATGGTGGGATAGGTTCCTTGTGACTGGCATCCTTGTTAATCATTCATAACTTCATTAACATCGCTGTTGATTTGGCTCGCCTGTTCAGAGAGACATAGCATGATCCTTATATACCTTGAAAGGTACGCTGGCTCCACATTCACATGTAAACAAGCTTTTGCTTATGAAGCTCTTGATGCTGAGCAGGACTTAGTCACAAACACTTTTATCAGCCAGTGGAGCTCTTCCGCCTGTTTAAAGTCAGCATGAATGGGGTCTAATTTTTCCAGATGTTTGAAGTTAGTCCTAGCATGAATGGAATCTAAATTTGCTAGTAATGTTGCCCATTATTTGCCACAGATCAAATGGGTTATGCTGCAAAAACACACAATGCAAAATCAGAGGAGCATCACCAAAAACACATCCATGCTGTAAACACTTACCTGCCAGTATTTTTCATTGTCTCCAGGATCAATGTCTAAGAGACCGGATAATCTGAAAGTAGGTGAGAGGGAACCGGGTGACCTAGTGTCTCCAGAATCAGCATCACAACACTGTTTTCCAAATACCTACTTCTATGCTGGAATATTTGTGACATTGAGAAGATATAAATGTCAGCAAAATTAGGACAGAGGGAAGGGGAGATTTTACATACCTGTTTTCCTTTGGTTTCTGAAGCCACTGTCACTGCTTTTAGGAATGCTTTACTCACAAGTTAACCTTACTGCCCAGAGGGTGACAATGATTTTAAATGGATTATCATTCCCTAAAACTATGTCCAAAATTATAAGGCGCCAGTTATTTATTCACTCAGTGAAACCCATTAGCTAGCTAGAAAGAAAGGTTAAACTTCTTAACAAATTATATTCCAGTATGGGAAATGATACGGTGAATGTCCACATATGTTTTTTTTCTGTACGTAATGTGTATAGATAGATACAGATGACAAATACTGCGTAATGGAAAGGGTCTGTAATCTGTGGTTAATGGCTAATGGTTTAGAGAGAGAGCTGACCCATTGATTCTCTTCCCCTCTGCCCGTTGGAGGCATCTCCCTTGAGTAGATAAAGGAAAATTATAAAGGGTGGGGGGTTGTGCCCTAAGGAAGACAAAATAGGCTTGTAGCTAACAACTGAAAGCAGAAGGATGGAAAATACAGCAGAATATTTCTAACCAAACGGAGACTCTCCAGAGCGTGTTAGTTTCTCCAAAGCTGTAAAAGCCAACCAGCACTAACAAGTCTCCGCACCAGTCCAAGCTACGTAACCAGCGTCACAGGCTGCCATTGGTGTGCTTGTGTTTGTTTCTTTGATCTTAATTGCAGCTTAGCTTTCCCTGAGTGCAAGTAAATAGGACATGCTGGAGAAGAAAAAGGCACAAAGGACAAAATAGCCCAAGACAAGAGCTATTGATCACAAGAGACAGGTTGTTTTCCCTTGCCGTTTGGAAGTCTGTGTCTGACAGTGGGCAAGAATCACATGAAAACTTTGAAGCATCACCACCCACAGTCAATACATGGTTGCATTTACATTTAACCATTTCATCCAAGATGGCAATTTAAAAAATACTGTATCAAGCAAGCTCTGAAACCACATCTACAAGAGCATTGCCATTCGTTGTGCTCCGTGATGGAAAGTCTCCATCTCCCGACCCCACTGCCATTCTGCAGAATCAAGTGCCTACACCATCCATAAGAATGAATAGAAAGGATACAGGCATGGAGAGGGGGACAAATTCATCTCTTTAACCACACTGGCTGTGAGAAAAGGTTGGCAGTTAAAGGGTGGCAAAATCTGTTTTTATTTCTATGGATTGGTATGTACTCTAAGTACTTGTTTTTATTTACAGTCAATCCTCATTTAGCATTTGGGTTACATTCTGGGGCCCCATGCATGTCAGTAGGGCCTGCATAAAGCATTCTGCCCCACCCCCTTTCTGTCCTTTTAGTGATGCTTCAGTGATGTTTTCTGGTCACTTCCGGGTTTGGCGCCTTGATCATATGCATGATTACACGTTGATCAGGTGTGCGTCAATTAGTTGTTGCCTTTATTTATTACATTCCTGTACCACCTTTTCTTCCAAGGAGCTCAAGGTACTGTACATGGCTCTCCTCATCCCCAGTTCATCTTCCCAACAACCCTGTGTGGTAGGTTAGGCTAAGGGACGGTGACTGGCCCAATGAGCTTCATGGCTGGGTGGGAATTTGAACCCTGGTCTCCCAACGTTCAAACCAGTATACCAGTTTTTCTCAAGTTGTTCCCCAGCTCCCATCATTTTGTAGTTAGAAGTTACCCTTCGAAACTAATTTCTAAACTAATTTTCATTCCATACAGCAACTAGCCAATTCTTTAAGAAAGTTAGCACCAGGAGCCAAGGCATTCTGGTTGATGAGGTTAAACTGGTGTCCCAGGAAAAAGGCCCCATACAAACACACCATTAGCCATGTGGGAACCTCTTCCCCAGGAGGAGAGGAAGCTGTGTGGTCACTGGTTCATTGAAATCAGTACTGTCTACTCTGACAGTTTGCAAGGGTCTCAATCTGCAGTCCTTTGGTGCAGCCTAGGGTAACCATTTATGCAAAAGAAGACATTTGTTTCCATGTGCACATGCTCATTTACGTGTATAGATGCAAACTTATAAACAGTTACAATAATTTAAAAATATAATACATCTCGCTGTAGCGGGGAAGATTGTGACATCTGCAACCCTGCTGCTCACAACAGCTGTCATGGACGATGCAGAATGATTGGGCCTGATCCTGACCTGATGCTGCACCTGTTCCAGCTAATGCCCATGAGACTTATTTGGGATCCTGCAGAGCCCAGCTCCCAGCCTTTGGGATCCCCTATTAGGGCCAGCAGCACCTCAGTATCTTCATATGCTCAGAAACCTATATTGGCATCTCTGCAGGTAAATTAACATCGTGTTAGCAGCACCCATGAATGGCTTACCATACAAAGCAGCCTCCATGGAAGAGAAAGAGTGAGGAGTTTCATTTAGTGTGTGGGTGGCTCACCTCTCAAGCAAGGAGCAAGAGGGGAGCTATTCCTCAAGAGACCCATGTATACAATTGGTGTGAGTTGGCTCTGCTGGATTGAGGCCTTTTCTTCCTGCACTTTGTTATTCAATGGAAGCTCTTGGGTTATCTGCCAGGGCATGCAGGGCACATCTGGGGCAGGATGTGTATATGTGTGATTAATATTTTGAAGATCTTGGGAGGTTGTGTTTTATGCATTTTATGGAAGACATACATTTTTAATTTTTTAATTTTTTTGCCGTGAAAGCTGGGTGTGGTGGTGAGAGATACATCTGGGTTGTGAA